GCCTAAATTTAAATTTGTCTAATTTAAAACCATTGTTACGAGTTCGCTCCTGGTTGGATAGTTTGAGTACCTTTGTAATGTCCCCTTTGTTTAACCCTGCCTTCCACTTATACACCTCTATCATATCACCCCTCACTCTACGTCTCTCGAGGGAGTGCAAATTAAGATGCTTTAACCTGTCTCTGTACTCAAGGTTCCTAATGCCCGGGATTAGTCTTGTCATTCTCCTCTGAATTCTTTTCAAGGATTTTATATCCATTCTGTAATACGGTGACCAGAATTGAACTGCGTAATCCAAGTGAGGTCTCACAAGCGCAAGATATAGTTTTAGGATGACCTCGCTAGTCTTGTAACTATCACTCCTTTGTATGAACCCAAGTACTTTATTAGCCTTGTTACGAGCAAAAACACATTGTTTACTTGGCTTAAGATTCCTACCTATCATTACTCCTAAATCCTTCTCGCAGTCAGTTTTCTCAATAACATCGTTGTTCATCTGGTATCTGGTTTCCCTGTTTACATCTCCTATACTGAGTACTTTACATTTGTCTACATTGAATTTCATCTGCTATTTTTCTGACCATTCGAAAAATTTGTTTAGATCTTCCTGTAGTTTTGCTGAGTCCTCGTCAGATTTAATTACACGCCCTATTTTAGTGTCCTCAGCAAATTTACATATGTTGCTGTCTACGCCGATATCTATGTCGTTTATGTATATAATAATGGTCTAAGTACTATCAGCTACACTATCAGCTACATTATCATCTACATTATATCAGCTACATAAGAACATAAGAAAATAAGGAGTCTGCAATAGGCCGGTTGGCCTGTGCATGGCAGCTCCTGTCGAGAGTTACTACCACTCTCTATCATCCATGAATCTATCCAGCCTCCTTTTGAAACTTTCCAGAGTTCCCGCACTTACTATAAAGTTGCTAAGCTTGTTCCACTCGTCCACCACCCTATCTGTGAACCAGTTTCTTCCTATTTCCCTCCTAAACCTAAACTTATCCAACTTGAATCCGTTGCTCCGAATCCTATCCTGCTCGGATATTATAAGAACTTTCTCTATATCCCCTTTATTGATTCCTTTCGCCCATTTAAATACTTCCATCATATCTCCCCGCACTCTTCGTCTTTCTAGGGAATGCAAGTTAAGTTTCTTTAACCTATCCTGATATGGAAGGTTTCTAAGTCCCGGAATAATTTTTGTCATTCTTCGCTGCACCGACTCTAGTGAATTTATATCCATTCTATAATAGGGGCACCAGAACTGAACCGCATAATCGAGGTGCGGCCTGACTAGCGCAAGATATAGTTGCAATAAGACCTCTGCACTCTTGTTACTTACACTTCTAGATATAAAACCCAATACTCTGTTTGCCTTATTTCGAACATTAACGCACTGTTTTCTAGGCCGTAGGTCCGGGCTTACAAGTACCCCTAGGTCTCTTTCTACATTATCATCTACACTACATTATCTACAATACATCACATACACTATCATCTACACCAACTACACTAAGACTTAATGAGTGGTTGGTAAGACTCATACACACAGGCAGATAATCTCTCTCTTAATCTGTATTAGTTGTTGTCTACTGTTTTCTACATTAATTTCTACGACAATTATGATCTTTAAGCGGTTGATGTTATAATGTATTACTCCGCTTCGACAACTAAGCTCTTTAAGCCGTTGATGTTATAATGTATTACTCCTCTTCAACAACTAAGATCTTTAAGCGGTTGATGTTATAATGTATTACTCCGCTTCGACAACTAAGATCTTTAAGCGGTTGATGCTATAATGTATTGCTCCGCTTCGACAACTAAGATCTTTAAGCGGTTGATGCTATAATGTATTACTCCGCTTCGACAACTAAGATCTTTAAGCGGTTGATGTTATAATGTATTACTCCGCTTCGACAACTAAGATCTTTAAGCGGTTGATGCTATAATGTATTACTCCGCTTCGACAACTAAGCTCTTTAAGCGGTTGATGTTATAATGTATTACTCCTCTTCGACAACTAAGCTCTTTAAGCGGTTGATGCTATAATGTATTACTCCTCTTCGATAACTAAGATCTTTAAGCGGTTGATGTTATAATGTATTACTCCGCTTCAACAACTAAGCTCTTTAAGCGGTTGATGTTATAATGTATTACTCCTCTTCGACAACTAAGATCTTTAAGCGGTTGATGTTATAATGTATTACTCCGCTTCGACAACTAAGATCTTTAAGCGGTTGATGCTATAATGTATTACTCCGCTTCGACAACTAAGCTCTTTAAGCGGTTGATGTTATAATGTATTACTCCGCTTCGACAACTAAGCTCTTTAAGCGGTTGATGCTATAATGTATTACTCCTCTTCGATAACTAAGATCTTTAAGCGGTTGATGTTATAATGTATTACTCCGCTTCAACAACTAAGATCTTTAAGCGGGTGATGTTATAATGTATTACTCCTCTTCGACAACTAAGATCTTTAAGCGGTTGATGTTATAATGTATTACTCCTCTTCGACAACTAAGCTCTTTAAGCGGTTGATGTTATAATGTATTACTCCGCTTCGACAACTAAGCTCTTTAAGCGGTTGATGTTATAATGTATTACTCCGCTTCGACAACTAAGCTCTTTAAGCGGTTGATGTTATAATGTATTACTCCACTTCGACAACTAAGCTCTTTAAGCGGTTGATGTAATATTTTCGAAAGGTATTACCAAGTGGCACTCAATATAGGAGGCAGAGACAGGTAAAGATGCTTGTGCTTTAGTTAACTTTAGTTGATGTAAATTAATATATTTTGGTGATGTTTTGGGATAGGTAAATATATATTGTTATTCTTGTTGCTATTATTATTATTATTATTATTATTATTATTATTATTATTATTATTATTGCTGTTAGCTGTTATTATTATTATTATATTATTATTATTATTATTATTATTATTATTATTATTATTATTATTATTATTATTATTACCAAATATGATAACAGTGATGATAATTAACCCATAACACAATTCAGAAAATATAATTCAGAGGAAAGACAAAAATAGACAAGATAAAATAATGAATAATAATTTAGAGGATAACGCAAAGATATCGGATTATTAAAGACAACGGATTATTTAATTGAATATAGCGGATTACTTTTGAATATAGCGAATTATTAAAGATAGCGGATTATTAAATGATAACTGATTATTTATTTGAATATAACGGATTACTAATAAAGCCAGACGACTATTAATTGAAGATAGCGGATTATTTATTGAAGATAACGGATTATTAATTGAAAATTGCGGATTACAATTGAAGATAGCGGACTGTTAATTGAAAATAGCGGATAATCAATTGAAGATATCGGATTGTAATTGATGGTAACAGATTATTAATTATTTGGAGATATACAGTAGAATAAAATGGCGTTGATAGTTATCGGCATTTTAGTATTATCGGCATTAGATTGTTTATTCCGATATCGTAGAAAATAAAATTGATTTGTTTATTATCGGTTTTTAAGGTTATCGGCCGGAGGTTTTGGTTCCGATATCATATGAAGTGTGGCGTTTAGTATGGTTGAGGATAACGTTACAATATCGGGCCGGGTTGCTGATTGAGAACGAGGGATTACTGTTAGAGGAGGAGGGGTTATTGATTGAGAACGAGGGATTACTGTTAGAGGAGGAGGGATTACTGTTAGAGGAAGAGGGATTACTGTTTGAGGACGAGGGATTACTGTTAGAGGACGAGGGATTACTGTTAGAGGACGAGGGATTACTGTTAGAGGACGAGGGATTACTGTTAGAGGACGAGGGATTACTGTTAGAGGACGAGGGATTACTGTTAGAGGACGAGGTTAGAGGAGGATTACTGTTTCAAGACGAGGATTACTGTTAGAGGAGGAGGATTACTGTTTGAGGACGAGTTACTGTTAGAGGAGGAGGATTACTGTTAGAGGACGAGGGATTACTGTTAGAGGACGAGGGATTACTGTTAGAGGACGAGGGATTACTGTTAGAGGACGAGGGATTACTGTTAGAGGAGGAGGGATTACTGTTAGAGGAGGAAGGATTACTGTTTGAGGATGAGGGATTACTGTTAGAGGAGGAGGGATTACTGTTAGAGGACGAGGGATTACTATTAGAGGACGAGGGATTACTGTTAGAGGAGGAAGGATTACTGTTTGAGGATGAGGGATTACTGTTAGAGGACGAGGGATTACTGTTAGAGGACGAGGGATTACTGTTTGAGGACGAGGGATTACTGTTAGAGGACGAGGGATTACTGTTTGAGGACGAGGGATTACTGTTAGAGGACGAGGGATTTCTGTTTGAGGACGAGATTCTTCGCCCTTGAGGATGAATTTTTTGGTCATAGAAGACGACTTTTTTACTTAACCTAACCAAACCTAACGTAACCTAACCAAACCTAACGTAACCTAACCAAACCTAACGTAACCTAACCAAACCTAACGTAACCTAACCAAACATAACGTAACCTAACCAAACCTAATTAAATCTAACCTAACTTAACAAAACCTAACCTAATCTTACCAAACCTAACTTAACCAACCAACCCATATCCATGAAAACCAAGAAAATAAATTCAAATAAAAACAAAAAAATATGAATTATTTGAAGAATTGACACTTAAAGAGATGAAGGAGAGAGAGAGAGAATTATGGATGGTAGAGAAAGTAACAACGGGGAATAACAGGAGCCTACAACAGAACGTTCAACAGTAGCAACAGTAACCAAGGAGATTATCTGGAGACTATAACAGTAATTCAACAGACTACAAGAAGAGATTTAACAACAGGAATAAACAGAATGAAGACTACAACACATATTTCAACAGACTATACAACAGAACTTTTAACAGAGACTATACAAGAAGATATTCAACAACAGGAAGAAACAGAGACAACAGTACAGACACAGGGGGGGAGGGGGGAGGGAGGGGAGGGGGGTGTGTAGGGAAGGACTCACCTCGGGCGTGTAGGGCGTGATGTGTAAGGAGCGCCAGGTGCCAGGGAGGTAACATTGGGCAGTAGAGGGCGGAGGGCAACAGCGTACCCCCGCCACCACAATGAACTGAGGGTAATGTAGGGGGTGGTGACCCTCCTCCTCCACCACCACCACCACCACCACCACCACACTTTCCCGATGATGATGATGATGATGATGATGATAACAGCGCCATCACGTCTTCTCTATCTCTCTGTTTATTTAGTCCTTGTAATTCCACTTTTATCTTGTTTTTGTTTTGTTTTCACTTATTTCTCGGGTTATTTGATGTTTCAAGTGGAGGTAATTTATTTATTTTATAGCTTTAATGTTACTTAACACGGAATTAATAAACACAAGTGGGGGTTACGATGTAGAGGTGAGGTGTGTATGTAAGACGTCTTAATCTCCTCCGCCTTCGTCGTCGCCGCCGCCAGGTACAGCGAGCGCCGTGATGTATAGTGTAGTGTTGTTGTGGCCGCCGCTGCCTCTGAGCCAACGCGGAGGCTGTAGTGAAGGAAGGAGGGAAGGAGGGAAGGTAGGCGGGAGGTACAAGAGACAAGGATGCTGTGCCAGCCCCCTCATCACAGTTGCTATGTCGTGGCTACAGGTGAGGGTTTGTTGACATTACTCCCCGTGGTCCTCTACCCGCTGGCGAACTCGTCTAAGGTCTCACGTCTTCATCTCAGCCACCGTAAGATTTATTCCATCTAATTATCATTTATTCTCCATCAATATATTATAGTAATTTCACAAAAAAATACACCAGACATGATATGATTTATAATCCTCTCAACAGCTTTCCTGGCGGTAATCACCAATCAGGACGGAGAAAACCCCCCGTAGCTCCGCCCAAAACAACCAATGAATGAGCCACCCGGCCTCCCCCAGCCAATAGCCTCTCAGGACGCGTCTTCCACTCTTATTCTTGTTACACGATTGGCGGCTAACTAGTAAATTCATCACCTCAGTAACATCGTAACATTATTGGTTTTGTTGGGGCAGAATGGACGCTACTGATGCTGTTTGATCCGCCCTAGATAATAAAGGGGACATCTAGCGGGTACCCCAGGCTGTGATATATTGTCAGGTTATGATAATGGCCGTAGGTTGTGTGTGGGTAGACTGTTATATGTACCCTTGATCATTTCTGTTGTGGTGGGGGGGTGGGTGAGGGGAGGGTTAGACGAGGGGTGGAGAGTAAAGGGAGGGGTGGAGGGTGAGGTGAGGGGTCGAGGGTGAGATGAGGGGTGGTGGATTAGGTGAGGTGAAGGGTGGAAGGTAAGGTGAGGATTGGAGGGTGAGGTCAGGGATGGAGGTGAGAGCTGGAGTATAAGGTCAAGGGTAGAGGGTTAAGATCAGGGGTGGAGGGTGAGATCAGGGGTGGAGGGTGAGGTCAGGGATGGAGGTGAGAGCTGGAGTATAAGGTCAAGGGTAGAGGGTTAAGATCAGGGGTGGAGGGTGAGATCAGGGGTGGAGGGTCAGGTGACAAACATCCATAATCGTGATAAACAAACAAAGGGAACAGCACACTGCCCTGTCTAACACCGCCTCCATCATCAAACCATTTCTCTCTACTCTGTTCCGACATTAACACACTCTAACATGCGTCATCGGTGCTCCCTGTAGCTTAGTTTATGTCACCAAGTATACTGTACTCTCCATAATCTATCTGCTGTGTATAGAGAACTGGTCAAAGGTCTTCTCTAGGTCTAAAAATACCATCCTCACGTTCCTCCGTTGTTCCTTCCTCTACTGTATGTATTATTTTTCGTTATCTCTTCCCCTCCTTCCCGGAGTGGTGTCTTACCTACTCCTGAGTTGTATGTGATTCTCCTGCCAGACGTGAAGGTTACTATCACCCTATAAAACAGGAGTTTTATCATTTTTAGGAACTGAAGGAGCGCCCTTCAAGAGTCGTTTAACCCACTTCACCCTCTGGTCCTTGAGATATTACTATGGCTCGTCTTTATATGGGACGTGGCTGTCAGGTCATGCAGTTTCTGTTGAGTTCCAGCACATGATCACTATATGTGTCAGGCAATGAGAAGGCGGACAATGTGGGCAGGGCTGCTGCTTCTCGTCCAGCCTCTGTGCTTCAACTACTACCTAGCTTATCGGGATGTACTGTACGTCCTGGGGTTAGACCTATCGTATGTAATGGTTGGCATTGTTCTGGGGTGACACTGTTGGCCCAAACACGCTCCGGGGGATTACAACAGATATACGCCCCTGGACACATTCCCGAATGCCACGGAGGTGGGAGACAGCCTTGGCCAGGCTTCACATTGGCCACTCTATAATAGGCAGACACGCAGCCATTTGATGACCCGAGAGCCCCAGTATGTGATGACTGTCTGGTCCACCTTAACTATAAAAAACTCGCTGGATGAGTGTCCTGGTCTGAGGTACCGTTTAGGTGGCGGCATCTTCCCAGGACTCGGGGAGGGGATGGTTACTGCCGCCTATCCTGTTCTTGGGACAGTTGTCTCACCTTTCAGAGGATGAAGTTTTTAAGTTTATTGAAATGACTGATCTTCAAAAGTTTTTTCTTCACATTTTAATTATAGCTACGTGTGTGTGTGTGTGTGTGTGTGTGTGTGTGTGTGTGTGTGTGTGTGTGTGCGTACTATATCTATGATTTTGAGTTAACAGTGAAAATTTATTTCGTCCTGCTGTTATGATGAACTTAACCAAACTACCTCATTCTCCCTTAACTATCCCCTTCTCCTTTCCACTCCCACTCTTTTCCTCTCCCTCTTCCTTTCCCTCTCTTTTCTCCTTCCTTCCCTTACACCCTCTTTCCACCCTCACAACTATATATGGAGGCAACACCAGGCGTCTTTTTCCTTCCTTCCCACCTCCCCCCATTCCTCCCTTCCCTCTTACTACTCGCTCTTCTCCCCCCACCTCTCCCTCCCCTCCTACCTCTCCTTCCCTCCTATACGTCCTCCCCTTCCATCCCACGTCTCTCCCCTCCTCACTTCTCGTCTTACCCTCCCCTCCCTTCTTTCCCATCTCCCTCCCTCCTTCCCTTCCATCTCCCTCCCTTCTTCCCTCCCATAATATCGATCAGCTTATTAAAGATAAAAAATGGTAACATGAGTGTGTTTAAACTTTCAGATTTGAGAGGAACTTTTTTATAACCTTTTGTTCTGTTGGTAATAAAAGAGTTTCATTAGTGCGTTGTGTTGTGTCTTGTTGTTGTTGTTGTTGTTGTGGTTTGTTGTTGTTGTATGTAGTTGTTGTTGTGGTTGTGTGTTGTTGTTGTTGTTGTTGTGGTTTGTTGTTGTGGTTGTGGTTGTTGTGGTTTGTTGTTGTTGTTGTTGTCGTTCTTGTTCTTATACTTATTCTTGTACTTATGTATATATGTATATGTATGTATGTATGTATGAATGTATATATGTATGTATGTATGTGGAAACGTAGCACACACACACACACACACACACACACACACACACACACACACACACACGCTCCAAAACACACTATTAAGCTGACATCTAAACCGCAAACACCACCAACTTATTTACATACTGACAGCTAATTTACACACAGGTATCTTTAAATATTATAAATTGTAAAATATCTGTGAAAAATGTCTTATTTGTATAGTTTACGATGATCTGGACTGGATGGCTTTAATCTGACACAGGTATTGTAAATTGGCCTTGTTACGATACATGTCAGTGCAGTACAGTAGTTAAGTGTTACTGTGTGTGTGTGTGTGTGTGTGTTGATGGCCTATGGCTCAGGTGATATAGAGGTGTTCACTTCATACCACAAACACTGTAGACAATGTATAAACACTGTAAATTCCGTAGAGTAGACAATGTAGACACTGCAACTTTATAGACACTGCAATCATTGTAGACACTGTAGACATTGTAGACACTGTAGACATTGTAGACACTGTAGACATTGTAGACACTGTAGACATTGTTTATATTGACATACAGAGTTGTTGAAGGTCTAAGGGGAGAGCTGGTCATGAATCTTGCAGCGTCTCACTCACCTGTTACACTATAAGTAAATAAAGACAGGTAAACAAACACAGGTAAACTCTGATAAACTAACGCATGCAAATACAGGTAAACATAAGAACATAAGAACATTAGAACATAAGAACATAAGAAAGTGGGATACTGCAGGAGGCCGACTGGCCCATACAGGGCAGATCCCTTTCACACCCATCCCAGCACTTCCATGTGCCTATCCAACTTCGTCTTGAAGCTCCCTAGCGTCACGATCCTACTATAGCACTCGGTAGCCTATTCCACATATCCACAACTCTATTACCAAACCAGTAGCACTATATCCTTTCTGAATCAGGAATTTATCTAATTTAAAGCCATTTGTTCTAGATTATTTCGTTATTACTGAGCTTCAAGACATCTTCCATTTTACCCTTGTTAATCCCACTTACCCACTTGTACACCTCTATCATATCCCTAACTCTGCCTCTCTAGCCAGATGTAAGCCTAAGCTTTTCAGTCTTTTCTTCATATGGAGGTTTCTAATATTATGGATCATTTTTGTCATTCTTCTTTGTACTCTCCAAAGAATCTGTGTCCATTCTATAATGAGACACCACCCAGAACTGAACCACATAATCCATGTGTGGCCTCACTAATGCTAGGTAAGTTTCAAGATAACGTCAGCAGTTCTGTTACTCACAGGCCTAGATATGAACCCAGAATCCTCTGTTTGCCTTGTTGCGAACGCTAATACATTAACTTTCTGGGTTTCAAGTCGTTTGCTAACAAATACTACCTAGATCTTTTTACAAACTGGGTTTTCTGTTCCGTGTTACCTAGTTTATACTTAACGTTTGTGTTAATACCCTATCTGTAGTACCTTGCATTTATCAGTATTAAAATTCATTTGCCAGTCTACTGACCACTCATGTTAGGTATCTAGATCTCTTTGAAGGTGTTCAAAGTCACTGTCTGAATTTATCACTCTCCCCATTTTGGTATCATCTGCAAATTTACTAATCCTACTAGTTATGCCTAAATCAAGATCATTAATGAATATGACAAACAGCAGAGGGCCTAATACAGATCCCTGGGGAACTCCGCTTTTGACCGCACCCCAGTCTGACTTTAATCCATTTATGCTGACTCTTTG